TGAATAGAAGCTAGTGTCTCTTTGAAAGTCCTCCACGAAGCAATCCCTTCCCTTAGATAGACAGCCCTTGTGTGCTTTGCCATATTCAGATAATCTACTCTAACCTCACCAACATTTCCCTTGATATGTAATAGCGGAGGATCCCAGAGAACGAATGGGGAGTTCCATGAGGTTTCTGCAAAGAATGAAGTATGTGAAAGTGCGCGCACCGTTAACAGCACGGTAGATACCATAATGATATTCCGTTTCGCATGTCTAGCATGCGACATGTATAGCATGTCGCATGTCTAGTTCAGCTGTAACGCCTAATGTTGTTTAATGTGATTCTTTCCTTGAGATAATCACGATTACCAATTTTTTCATTTACACAGCCCCACAGAATGAAGGCTAAGAAGTAAGATCCGGATGTTTTACAGACCATGGGTTTATAGACTTCTCAAATAGACTATACACTATAGTACTCGTATGTATAGTCTATTCTATACACACGAGTCTAGTCCAGGGGTTCTCAACCGGTGGTTCGCAAGAGAAATTTAGGAGGTACGCAAAGAAGCAAAGTATTTTTAACTAGTAAATTCAAAAATTAAAAAGCCCCATCATTCCGATTGAGTTTTTTTTCTCTAACAATCGTAAATGTATGCGATCTGAGCTTTGTTCAAGAGTGCTGGTGGTAGTAGTACTTTGTAGTGACTACAGATTTGTGGTACTACAGATTTTCAGTTTTTGTTTAGATAGTACACGTCAGTCAAGAGGTTGAGAACCGCTGGTCTACTCTATATACACGAAATTTCTCGTGGCAAGGAGCGCAAGTTTACTTCTGTCGTTGGCAAGTGCCTTGAGCACCTTACAGGTGACAGTGCGATTTAGCTCATTCCCCCCCCCCCCCAATTTTGATGGAGAGCACGTCGGGGAACGTGTCCGAGGGTCTCCCCCCTCTTCCCCTACCACCAATCTCTCTCGAGAGCTTTCGGCTCGCCGCATATTTAGAGTGCCCCCCATGCCGCACGGACAACACTATACATTTACAAACATCCATGTCTTCTCTGGAATTCAAACCCGGGCCCTTCGCCACGGCAGTCAGCAAGTGGTTGGGCGGCACGAGTTATTAAGAAGAATGTGGCACAGGAAAGATATTGCATAGGATCTACAGCATCTTTATCGGCACACGATCGGCACCGCAGCTCAAAAAACGGCTTCGATCCTATGTTTTGTTGTCGCTATGAAGTGTTGACCCCGTGCATCCATGCAATATCAATCTTGTGAATATAAGCCGTTATTAAGCGCCCCCAAGAAGATACCATCGCATAATAAAAAAAGACTTTTTTTAACGTATTCTAATGATGGCAGCTACTTCACCCAGTACGTGCGCCTGGATGGAACGAAAAAATCTCTTCCAGATGTCTTCAGTCGCAGAAAATGATCTATTAATAGTAAACGAGGTATTAAAAGTATCACCTTCGAGAACCATTAGGACCAATTTTGTGGGGCGAAGGGCCAAATGCGTGTCATTGGGAGGCTATTACCAAAACAAGCGGCTCCCCGCCCCTCTTCCTCTTTCTCTCGTTTACAGCAGTCTTAATATAGTTGCCCTCAAGCGAATGAAGTAAAAAAAAAAAAAAAAAAAAAAAAGACAAAGAGATCTCATCTGCGTGAAATGCGGCGTTTATAACAGCGTCTAAAAGATATTCGCGAGCGATTTATGGGTTACGATTCTTTTTCTCTATCAGAACTACATATTGTATTAAATAAATTTTAACCCAGCGAAATGGTAAAACTAATAAAATTTTAAAATTACTGATTTCAAATTTTTAATATTTTAGCTAACAGAACTTGTCATTAACTACAAAAACTTAATAAATAAATAAATAAAAATCGGTATTAGGTAGACAGCAAACGATTATATTGTATCGAGATTTGTAATACACAATTTTTATTATTTACGGTTATGCTTACAAAATTAAAGATTGGGTACATTTTGACAACAATTGGCATCATTACTGGAATACATAAAAGTGTATATTACAAATCATATGAGTTATGAATTACATTAAATAAAAAATAAAGATATGTATCATGTTAAGATGCAAAATATACAATTTATAAAACTGCATGTGTTAATACATAAAGTTAGAGATATATATAATTTATAAAGTTATAAAAATATGTAAAACATTTTTGTAAATTACAAAAAGAAAAGAAAGGTGTACGTATATTGCTTTTAAATCTTTCAATAACACTTTTATTTAGAAAAATAAATAAAATGGGAATCTTATTCCGTATCCAATGGCAAAGCTTCCGAAAACTGGCAATTTTTCAAACCGAATGGATGAGACAAATTAAGAATCTTTTGCCTCGTTCGGATGGCAACAATAGTCAGGCCTTCGGATGGTAAATTTAAAATATTCTTATTAATCACATGTCTCTAATCTGTCCTATACAAAAGGGGTAAATAAAGCATATTAGATGTTTAAGCAGTTTGCAAACGATTATTTTGTACACCGAGATGCTAATTTATGACGTCATAAACATCTTTTATTAATTACAGTAATGGTGTGAATTTTTCTAAATATTGCCAGTTAGATATATTATAAATCAAAAGAAATATATGTTATACAAATTGCATCAGTTAAAGGTATTATTAAAATTTAAAAACAAATATAAATTTTTAAGAAGTACAAAATCTGTTTTTAAATCGATCAATTAATTTAGCAATGCTCTGTTTAACTTAAAGGATAAATTAATAAATAATGCTGTTTTAAATTAAAAGATAAATAAATAAGTATAAAAGGTAAAAATAATAGATAAATAATGATACAAAATATAAGACTAATACAAATTCATTAATTATACAAAATAATATATGTGACAGAATTTTTTAAAAATCTTATAGAATGTCTGGAACATCTCTGAGAACTATCAACTTGTCAAATCACACGTATGATAAATAGAAGCTCATATAACTTGTGAACTGGCGACACTTATGAGTTTGGCTCTGGATTGTAAAATGTCTTGATAGGTAGGGTTACCATAACTGCCAAGCATTGATACGAAACGTTAAGTGCTAAATAAACAAAACGTGAAAAATGCGCATGCGCGTAGTTATTTTACTGCGATAAAAAATCTATAAAGTTTAAATAATGTCACGTAGAATAATAAAGAAGATGCAAGGCCCAGTCATATTTTAAAGTTTATTTCATTTTATTAATTATTTTCGTCTTTTACATAATTATAAAATTAGACGCAAGCCATTTTAAAATTATAATGATAAATGTTTCAGCTATAGCCACCAACTCGTTTCTTTAGTCCGAGCTGACATTAGGGAAAATATTTTCTCCATATTTGCACCGAGATCAGGAATGGCAAACGTATTCGCATAGCTTTATATACGTGATTTTTATCGATACATTTTGTATCTGCAAATAAGTTCAGCTATTTTTCTTCCATATTAAATTTCATATTTACTTCGCAATTTTGGTTGGTATGATTTTTCTCTAAATAATTTTTGGATATACAATCTGGTTGAATAGAACCTCAGTGTGCCAATATCGAAGTTTCTTAGCTGTAACTATATAATAGTACGTTCTATTTCATTCAACCAGTTTATAAGGTATTTTCTCCCTCCTTCCTGCATGCCATCGTGGTGTAACGTTAGCACACTCGACGCGTATTCGAAAGGTCCAGATTCGAATCCCGGCGAGGGCGCTGCACATTTTTCACGTCTGCTGCTTCAAAAAAAATTAATGACTCTACAAGTAAAGGGAGGAAACGAGGCAAAAACGAAACAAATAGTAATACGGGGCTGAAGTAGTGAAATATGGTGACATCTCTGTATATACGGTTCGTATGGCAACCCTACTGTTACGGAACGTAACGTAAGTTACAAAAAACTAAACGACTTAAACATTTTTAATTTCTAAAATGGATGCGTAAGACAGTGAAAAATCAACATATTAATTCTAACATCAAACAAGTTGCTCGCTGCTTCCATTTCCGTTACGAACAATGTCCAAGAAGTTACGATATATATCACGAAGACTTCATTACGAATAACACCTAAGATATTTCAAGCAAAGCTAAGGAAAGGGAGTTTGTTTGTTGCCGTTTTATCAAACCTAAGTTTCATATTATTATTATTAACCTATTAAACAGAAAAGTCAATTTTCACTCCCTTTGAAATTTTGCGACAAACTCTTAAGAAGCCTTTTGAAAAGAATAACCTTTTTATTTATCTTTTGAAATTAAACAGAAGGGAACATTTGTGTTTACAATTAAAACACGGCCACTTGCGAGTATTTAAAATAGCATAAACGTAGTTTATTAAACGTAGTTTAGTTGGAGATTACACAAAGGGATCTACTTCGCTCGATAGTTTAATGACGCGTTTTAACGTTGGCTAGCGAAGTGGCTAAAGCCGGGATATTCACTGGCAGAGCTCAGTATGACGCTGCCAAACGCCCTAACAGGAAGACAATCAAAGACTCGATTTAAATACTCATACTGCTTTCTGGTGAGGACTACGGAAAAGGAGATTTAAATCATAATAATTGGTTAATTAACATAAAATATGTTGCACATTAGGAATGGCAACTAAAAAATTTGCAGTTTTTATTATTCATTTTTAAAACTTTTTCACTTATTTATATTGACCAATAAAATTAAAATTGAATTAACAATCTCGAAATAATTAATTTGATTCTTTAAAAATTTCTTATCGGAAATGCTACATCTTGACATCAATAATTAAAATCAGGTGGACTGATTTTAAATCAATAACTAATGGAACGCTCACATTAAATTAACGATTTAAAAAAAAAAGTTTAGAACGAGTTTTTGTATTTCAAGACTGTCTTCGAGAGGGCTGTGCGTGTAGATTTACTTCTAACGTTAAAAATGTAACACCACATTGAAACTTTGGTATCTTTTCTCAGCGTTTACATTCATTTCTTTTTTTTTTTTTTTTTTAATCCACTAATAAAAATTAAAAGAATGTTCAGTCTTACCTTCTACGTGTAAGTATCCTTTCCATGGCTAAAGACTAATAGAAAATAAACTTCTACAAGAGTTGCCCCATCTAAAGTAACTCTAGATGAAGGAATAAAATTAAGAAAACTATCCCATCGGGTAGGAAAAGTGAAAAAAAAAAAAAAAAGGAGAAAAGAGAAACGGAAGCTTATAAAAAAAAACATCCTGCAACTTTCTTCTTTTAGGTCATCCACCTTCTACCCCTTGGAACACAGCGAATTTTTTCTCTCACTGGACCCTTTCGTTCCCATACCTAATTACAAAAGAAAATTCAATTGGAGAATTTTTTTAAAGAGTTCGATTGGTAAAAGTTCGAAAAACAACAAAAGGTGAGGTACACGGGAAAGGGTAAAAAAGCTTCCTTTTTTCGCGGTCATAGACCTAGAAGGGTGAGGGATACCTTCCCCCCTTCAATAAAAACTGAAAAAGGGGAAAGCGAACGGCTTACTGCGCGAAAAAAGGGGTGGAAAGGGGAATCTGCAGAATTCCAACGTATATCGGTCATTGGTACAGGAAGGGGGTACAAGAAAAAGTGAAAGGGAAATGCTTTGTACGTGCCCGTCTGTTTATTCCTATCAAAGGGAAAGGGCCTCCCCATCCCAATATCGGAAGAGAATGGGTTTCGCAAGCTTCGAGAAAAAAGAAATTTTTCCTTTCTGTACTCTATGCAAATGTTTTATCGCTGCATTTGTGATATAAGGAATAAAATGATTTTAAGCAGTAATATATTTAACGGTGAAAATTACAAAGTAATTCAAGAAATCAGCATTATTAAGCAATCAAAATTTACAATTAAAATATTAAATAACACTGAATATCCGGGATGGGGGGGAGAAAATGAAGCTAAATGATTTTGTACTCAAATAGGATTACTTAGTGTGACCAGATACGATGGCAATAGAAACATTTTTATAAATACTATAATAAATTATCATAAAATTTGTCAGAATAATTGTACATCAAAACGCATGTTATACATAAGTTAGACGTTTCGGTAAATACCAAATAAAAATTTAAATTATTATAAATCTCATTTATTTCTTTTAAATCACTCTTAACTAAGATCACACTTAGTTAAGCATATAGCTGTAATTTGAAAAGTCGAACAGAAACACTGACAAACTGACCATCACCTAGTAACTGGCCGCATTCAAGGTATATAACGACACTTACGTTTCATGCAATGCAACTACTGGTCAGAATCATAAATTTAGGGAAACATAACGAAAGATGACGCGAAATTTTCGTAAACACTGTCTAAAAGATATTTCTAATGTCATAATATAATCACGAAGAGGGAAAAATAAGCAAATAGATACATATTTTATAATTTACTTTTATTATAATACGAGTTGTATAGTACTATGTATACTCACGTATTAACTACTACTTTCACCGCTTGAAAACCGAAGGGGAAAAATATGTGGTGTATACAATTTTAGAAGACAAACACAACATATCAAAAAGATATATTATTATATTATGCTTTTCAAAGTACTGTGAGTTTTCAAAGTAAAAAAAATATTAAAGACACAATATTCCTACACTCATTTAAAATTTTATGATGTTAGTATTCCTGATGATTCTTAGAAAGAATTTAAGGAAATAAAACAAGGTAAATAATTCTCCTTCTAAATTTCAAATTATTTCTTATGTTCCTGAAGGATTTAGCCTAGATGGGCTATTAATCTCGAAACGGTATTTTGCGTTGAATCACTAAAAGCGTTTCATCATGTTGGTTTGTGCATTAGCACTGAGTAAGTTTCCTCAGGCGCAGTTTTCATTAATGAATCATAAGTCAAAAAATTAACTACGAAATCTTTATTTAATAAAATAGGCGAATTTTGCTTAAGCATAACAAAAAGTAATAATCTTCACAGACATTAAAACACTGAATTATCGAAAAGGAGATAACTTACATTCAAATATAAGTCATACATCTTCAAGCATACCTATTTAGGCAATAAGAAAAAAAAGGAACATACTTTGACACCTTACCTGAAAAGAGAAAGTACTAACTGAATTAGACCTTTGGCCGTGACATAAGGTGAAATTCGAATACACTCCACGTAGCCAAGGTGAAAGTCACATATACTGCATTGCACCGAACTTTAATTTCTCTCGCCACTATATATCTTGGCGCACGTTCGTTTCGTATGGTTTTCGAGTTTCATTATGCAAAATATCTAAATTTATGCTAACATTGCCCCTGTTTTGCTAATGAAACTCATACCAATTGCAATTCATTCCTGCAAAACTGAAATTTAGCTTTAGGAATTGGTTTAGTCATAATATCAGCAACCATTTGCTCTGTTGAAAGATAAGCAAGTTTTACTATTCCTTTGTTATTCAAGTCGCGTATATGATGAACTTTTGTATCAATATGTTTTGTGCGCGAACTGAATTTTTCAGATTCTACAAGTCTTATAGTAGACTGATTATCTTCAAATACCTTTATCGGTAGAGTTTGGGGTAGATTGAAATCTTCTGTTAATTTTAATAGCCATAATAGTTCTTGCGTAGCTTGCGATAGTGCAACATATTCAGCTTCTGCTGAGGATAAAGAAACACAAGTTTGTTTTCTTGAAAACCACGAAATACAGTTTTTCCTAATAAAATAACACTTCCTGATGTAGATTTTCTATCTTCAATATCTTGTCCCCAATCAGCATCTGAATAAACTGTAATATTAGGTTCTTCACTCGACGAAATTTGTAAGGATAGATTTCTTTGTCGTATTTAAGTATCTAATGATTCTTTTAACAGCATTCCAGTCCTTTTGACGTGGATTATTACACCTTCTGCTGAGTATGTGAGTTGAAGCTGTGATATCTGGTCTTGTGATAGACGATATATACAAAAGACTTCCAATAGCTTGGCGGAATTTATCATTTGAAGTTAGGAGATTTTCTTCCTTGTTTTAGGTTATAATAGTTTGTTTCCATTGGTGTGCTAGCGGGTTTCGCTTCTTCAAGTTGAAATTGCTTGACAAGTTGATTTATTTTATTTTTCTGTGATAAGAGATAACTTCCATCTTCCTTGCGATTTATTTCCATGCCTAAGAAATATTTAGCTTCACCAAGATGCGTTATTTGGTAACGTTTCTTTAAATCATTAATTGTTTGAAGAATTAGTCCTTCTTCTGTAGAACTTATTAGGATGTCATCAACATACACTATTAAATTAATTCTTTTATCACGAACCACTTTTGTGAAAAGACACGGATCTGCTTTGCTTTGACTGAACCCAAGATTCTTCAATGTATTTTCAATTTCTGCATTCCAGCACCTAGCTGCTTGTTTGAGACCATAAATCGACTTCTGTAATTTACAAACTTTATGTCTTTCTTCCGGAACCACGAATCCTTCTGGTTGCACCATATATATTTCTTTATTTAAGTTGCCATACAAAAAAGCTGTTTTAACATCTAGTTGATTTACCTTCGCATTATTATACGTACGCTGCCCATGCTAAGCAAACTCTTATCGTACATTCCACACTATGAGTGTGGAATGTACTTACGAACATTCCACACTATGAGTGCACTTGCCAAGTTTAATGCCTTCTGCCAAATCATTTTTCTCAAGTGTTTTTATGGCATCTATATTTCTGTGGCCTAATCTTTGATGCCATTTTAGTATACAGTTCGTATTAGAACATGAAACATCATTAGCTAAGTATGCTTTCCCGTCAACTGTGTTTATGGTCAATTTATATAAACCTTGCTGAGCGTTGCCGTCGGCTACGAGTATATTGTTACGCTTTATGTAACACTTATTACTATCAAATGTAACAATGCAACCTTTATTCGTAACAGATTGAACAGAAAGTAAATTACTATCTAAACCTGGTACATACAATACATTTTCTAATTTTATTTGTGTAACCTGACCCTTTAAGTTTTGAACTTTAAAATAGCCTTCACCAATACCATAAGAATTTAATTTAGCACCATTGGCTACAGTTACTATTTGTTTATTAGAGTCATTTAACTGAGAGAAAAAATTCTTATCACTCGTCATATGAGTTGAGGCTCCTGAGTCGATAACCCATTCTTGCGTTTGCGTGTTTTCATGTTTATTTTCCACTTTTAGAACTTGATTAAACTGAATCTGCGAATTTTCAGTTTCAATACTTTTAAGATACTTATTTTCTTTAAGTTTTGTTATGTTTTCTACACTTTGCGTATTTGCTATTTGGCATGCATTACTTTTATAATTTTGAGAATAATTTCTTACTTTACTGTTATTTACATCTGTTTTCGGGGAAGTTCTAGCGTTGCGTTTTAAATGAAAACAGTCATTTATCGTATGGTTATTTCTCTTACAATAAGTACAATATCGTGTAACATACTTTGATTTATTTTCGCTTTTACTTTTTAAAGCAACTGAATCGTATTTTTGAACTTTCTTAGTTTCCACACGTCTACAATACTCATCTATTAGTTTGTTTTTAACATATTCTAGCGACAATTCAGCTTCCGATTTACTTTCTATTGCAGTTATTAAGGAGTTGTATGAATTTGGTAAAGAACATAGTAATATTAAGTTACTTTCTTTAATTTCTTCACCAATACTACGCAGCTTTTCAGCCAATTCTAGTACTCCTTTTGATATGTTCCTGCATTTTAGAACTTTCATTATATCTAATGGAATATAGTTTTCTAAGAAGAAATAACTTGTTGTTAAATTTACACGTTCATGGACACATTTTAACTTCTGCCAAACTTCTTTTGCAGATTTACTATGCAAAACATGGATAATTTGCGAATCCGAAATGTTTAGGCATATTAAAGCTTTAGCTTTACGATCATTCTTTAACGAAATATCAGTAACAGTTCCCGGTTTTTCTTCGAATACAACATCATCTAAACCTTCTTTTATTAGAAGTTGTTCTATTTTAAATTTCCACACTGAGTAATTTTCATCTGTTAACTTTTCTATACAAACTGATTCTTTTAAAATAGACATTATTAATAATTAAATAGACATTATTATTTTAAAATAGACCCTCCTCAGT